GTTAGTTTGTTTTTGTGACATGAATAACAAGTAGCATTTATTTAATTTCAAGGTTTTTATATTTGTGCATTTTTTTGCTTAGGTCCTTAGGTAACTATGACTAGAAATGTTTTCTCTTAAGAAGAAGAGATTTTTAAAAATATTTTTGTATTCATAAAGTACATATAGTACATAAAGTAATCCAAGAATAAGACAAAAGTCTCAACAATAAAGCTATTTTAATTGGAATATTCTCCTAAATTAATACATTAAACAGACATGCTTAACCAAAAACATACGATGTAATCCATCTTTCAAGACATGATTAGGAGATAGCAAGTGCTTTACTGTATTAGTGCTAATCTATTAAATATGCAAGCAGTTTCTAAACAAATGTTTCACAAACCCTGCATATCATTTCTAAGAGGAGTCAGTCAGTAGGTAATTACTAAATATCAATATTTTATTTCACATTTTGTTTTTGAGCCTAAAATTACAGATGTCAACCCTACAGGAAAGTGCTTCTGATGACTACTGTAAATACTATAATAAACAAGGCCGGCGCCGCGGTTCAATAGGCTAATCCTCCGCCTTGCGGCGCCGGCACACTGGGTTCTAGTCCCGGTCGGGGCGCTGGATTCTGTCCCGGTTGCCCCTCTTCCAGGCCAGCTCTCTGCTGTGGCCCGGGAGTGCAGTGGAGGATGGCCCAAGTGCTTGGGTCCTGCACCCTATGGGAGACCAGGAGAAGCACCTGGCTCCTGTCATTGGATCAGCGCCATGCGCCAGCCATAGCACGCCAGGCGCAGCAGCCATTGGAGGGTGAACCAACGGCAAAGGAAGACCTTTCTCTCTGTCTCCTCTCTCTCACTGTCCACTCTGCCTGTCAAAAAAATAAAATAAAATAAAATAAATAAAATAAAAAATACTATAATAAACAAAATATTTCAGCTGGTATTTTAATGCGATCTTATTATTCCATTTCCCACTGTCCAAAATGTTGCAAAAATAACTGTTTTAAATCATGGAAGAACAAAATAAGATAACAAAATAAAGTGTTCCAATCTAGTTAAGAAATTAATAGAGACAAGCAGAAAAGGTTGTGGGAAGTCCTCCCTAGAGATGCAGAGGAGCGAGATAAGTGCCTGCCTGTCCAGAGTAGTTTTAGTGTGCCTTGCCCAGAGGAAGGGGAACAAGACCTGCTAATCTGCAAAATTTCAACAGCATCAATTCTGAATTGTCAGGAACTGCCTTGAGCATGCTTAGCCAATCCACAAGATTAAAGCAAGAGCCTCCAGTGAAAATCTTGTGATACCTGAGATTTGCTCTGAATAAGGCCTGGATGTGATAAATCCAGCAAACCTGCCATCATGCATCAGCCTGGGCTTGCAGATGGTGCTACATAATATATTATGTCTTATTGCAGCTAGAGCAGTTCCTTCTGTCCAGACTTCTTGTTCCTCTTTTACTTTCTGAATAGCATCAGGGCACAAGGCAGGGTTGTCCAACTTGTAAATGCACTTATACTGACATGATAAATATGACAAAGTGCTGATCCCTCCATCTCACAGTAAACATTAATATTATTAATTGTGATAATATTAATGGACTTTCATTGAATCATTACTTGATAAATTATGGCAACCAATTTAATACTAGTAATATAAATTAGGATGTATTCTCAGTTTTATTTTATTTTATTAGATATCTTACATAAGTGTAACTGATAAACCTAAACTTTACACAAAGCCTCATGAAATTGGAACTCTTTTAAAATGGTATCATCTGAACTATTTCACAATTACAGAAAAGTACTTTTAAGCATAAAATCCTGTAATATTTTAGTTATGACCCCAATTAATTCTATAAACCTATAAATGTACTGTGATATTTCAATGTTGCCCTCCTAGTCTTCTGCATGTTTTACCATGAAGGCACGAGAACAGCAGGAATAAACTGTTCCTCTGACTACTGTCTGCTGCATCCATGAAGTCTCTCAAGCCTTTTCGTCCAGAGCAGTAACATAAACCTCCAAAGTTAGAGTCACTTGGATTCCGTTACTCAGTCTCTCCTTTGTTTAGCTCTACTGCTTCTTCCCATTTCTGTCATCCGGATTCATCCTGCTTCCCTCGAATGGCCATTTTCCATTCCTTACAGCAACCCACAACCCCCACACCTCTGCTATGTACACACTCCATGGTGCTTTGCTTTTAATCTTCCAACCCAAACAAAACGTTGAGATCAGCACCTGGATAGCTCCGCACTGTGCAAGCCACGTTCTTCAGGTGGCTCCTTCACATGTTCTTTCATGAACTTTCCCCACGCATTCCCTGAGAACTCGAAGCAGCACTTTCCTCCTTTCCCTCAGTATCTATAGTAACTCCTCAAGTCTTGTTTACAAATCAGGGCTTTGTCTATATGAGTGTATTTTTAAAGATATTTTAAGCTTGAAGTGGGGGGAGAGAGAGAGAGAACGAGAATCTTACCTCCTCTGATCACTCCCTAAATGGCCACAATGGCTAGGGCTGGGCCAGACCAAAGTCAGGAGTTTCATCCAGGTCTATATGCACTTAGTAGCTTCTGGTGCATTTTCTTGTTCCATTTTGTAGTTTCACGTATAACTGATCCATAATAGAATAATCTGATCCACTCCTAATATTGCTAACTATTGCATTTTCTATTTTTCTGTTTTCTTCCTATGCATTTCTCAGGGCTAATCTCTAGCAATTGATTAGTTGAGTACTTGAGGAATGAAATACTATACTGTATTTTCATAGCATTTTACCATTTTAAGCTCTTTCACACATCTTCTTTCTCTAATAACCACAAGAAGCTCAAGTAGCTGTAACACATTGTAAAACTGATAACAAAGGCTCAGTGAAGTTGACTGATTTGCTCATGTATAGAAAACCAAAATATAGCAAATATTTTGAGACTCCAATCAAAAACTCCCTCACTGCTAATAGGAGTATTTAAATTGTAGGAAAAATCATGCAATGAGAGAAAAAATAAAATTCTGCTAATTATAAGCATTCCATTTTTCATGGTACATTGGATAACACCTCATTTCTCCCTCTACTTATAAACTTTTAAAATCACACAATTTACGAATAAATGAAGAGGGCAAATTGAAGTATCTCATCACAACTGATCTTGATTCCCACATGTACCTTTAAATATTGGAGAAGGGCTACTTGTACAGGACTACCTGCACACTTGTGTATCTCTGAATATATCTGCTGAGGTTAAGGTCACCCGGTTTAACAGTTTAGAGGTGGTACCCTTGAAAGATTGAAAATAATATCCCCGAGGCCAGTGCTGTGGTGCAGTGGGTTAACGCCCTGGCCTGAAGCGCTGGCATCCCATATGGGCACCGGTTCGAGACCCAGGTGTTCTACTTCCCATTCAGCTCTCTGTTATGGCCTGAGAAAGCAGTAGAGGGATGGCCCAAATCTATGAGTCCCTGCACCAAAATGGGAGACCTGGAAGAAGCTCCTGGCTCCTGGCTTCAGATTAGCGCAGCTCTGGCCAGTGCGGCCAATTGGGAGTGAACCATTGGATGGAAGACCTCTGTCTCTCTCTCTCTCTGTCTCTCCTCTCTCTGTGTAACTCTGACTTTCAAATAAATAAAATGAATCTTTATAAAAAAGAAAATAATATGCCCAAGAGATGGGCAACTGTGGCCGTGGCTGTACTTCTACAGAGACATAAAGACAAAGTGAGCAGGTGCGTGGTAGGGATCCTTATGTTGCTCTGAAGAGACACCAGAGGAGCTAAGGCCGATCTGAGCACCCGACATCACCGAATCTACCTGAAGGTTCTCTGAGTCCCAGCCAGCAAAGATAAGAGAGAGTAAAAGAAATCCTTTTAACTTGAGTGCTCATAAAAACCTCGGCTGCATGATTTTAATGCCTGTACATTTATATCTGGAGTCCCATAGTTTTTTCTCTTCACCTGCACATTTAGAAAGTAGAAGGTTAAAACAGAACCCATTTACACCTAGGAGAGATGCTGAGGCCGAATTCTGTGGTTCGGCAAACAGCTGTCTTCCTTAACAAGCGAAAGCATCTGTCTCTCTTTAACTACTAGAAAACAGTGTTGGATCTCACCACAGTGAATTCTGAATGTAAGTTTATTACTGAGAAAGCACCTGTTTATTTCTAGCTAAGAAATGTTGCATTTCTTATGTTTAATCTCAGCATACATGGGCTTTTCCCCTTCTACATTTCAAAGTAATGTAAAAGCTAAGGAAAGCATTTTATGTCTTAGCATTCATAGTCAATCAAAACCTAAAGGTTAAATAGGGTAGTTTAAGATGAATAAATATACATATTAATATTAGAATTGTCATTGAGATCCTAAATCAGATATGTACCATAAGACCTATAGCACAGAAAGCAACAGCAGAGCAAAGACGTATCAAAGAAAGCAAAAAAAAACATGTTTTCCTTTTTTAAGGAGGTTATGAATATATCCATTCATGAAAATGTAAGGGAATAACATATGTAAGAAAATATTTGGATAAAAGAAAATACACAATTTTCTCATTCTCAAATTTCTTGTATTGAATGAAAATGGTAATGTAAAGCAGTATAAAAAACTATAGTTCTAGGTTACTTATAATAAGAAATATAATTTATTCTTTCCAGAAAAAAAGTTCATATTTTGCATTTCCTGTAAGCACAAATAACAACTGAAAAGACAGTTGTCAAAAGAAGTTGACGGAAAATGGAAAGAGAATACGTTGTAAATGCCTTTCAATAAACCATTTCTTATTATTTCAAGATTAAGCATAAGGCTTAAAGAATGAATCTGATAATGGCTTCAGTTTCCAGACATCTTTTAAATGCAAATCTAATCAGGGAGCTTGTGAAAATAATTTAACTCACTGTTTCTAGGTCTCATAAGAAAGCATATAAGCAAATACAGCTTGCCCCATTTTCTTCTGAGACCGTCTTTATTATCACCTTTATACCAAAAACAGAGAAGAACTTAAAAAACATATACATTAAAGAGAAACTTACAAATTCTTAATGTCAACTGCTCCACGGAAAGCCTTCCTTGGAATTGCCTGGATTTGATTTTCACTGAGATCGCTAAAAACAATAAAGAAAAGAAAAAAGATCAAGTTGCAAAACATTGCTTTTAAGCTACTCTAACCAATGTGTTTGAGAAGTGATACGGTACAAGAAAAACTAAAAGGTTCCTAATTAAATCCATAGCATTTGATGTCATTTCCAATACAATTATTTTACATTTCTAATGTAAATTTAAAAATTAAAGTAAGTGGTTTCTTGCAGTATGCCCCCATAATTTAAATTTTATAATAAACTATAGGATAGGACAATCTTAAGAGTTGCTTCAATTATGTGTAATAGAATATTTCTCTGAGACAAAGAGTAAATCTTTCATAGCTCAACTTCAGTGGGTTCTGAAGTTTTAGTACTTGGTATTTCTCCAGCCCACTGACATAACTTAAGGAAGTATAAAGAAAAGCAGACCACTTTAATTTCCTGCAGAAGAGAGAGTATAAACTGATAAAAACTGGGTAGAATGATTACGTTTTCATAGCACTTTAAGCAATCTTGAAAATGGAACATGGCAAGACTGGCCCAATATTAAAACCAACAGTTTCTGCAAGAAATATATTAACAGCATATTGATTTAAAGCCATATTTAAATAATCCTATTATGCCCATAAACACAGATTCTCTATATTTGCATTTAAATTTAATTGAAAAATACATTTTAATCAAGAAGAAAAGCACTTTTCAACTTGGAATGAGAAGTTTGTAGAAATCACCCATCTCATGAAATGGATCATTCTTTCTCCCTTCGAAGTGGTTAGATATGATTCTATGAACCCTTACAGCATTATTAGCCTTAATGAGTAGGATATAAATACACACGCAAAACAGTTACTGAAAAGAAATAAAATGCACTTCTAGTTTAGGAACATACCACATAACAGAAAGTTAACATAGTAAATAAATAAATAGAGTGACAATGATAGTAGTAATACCAGCTTTGAAATTCTAATATAACTATAAGAAAGAAAAATGGAGCTACTGACCATGTTGCATAGCTGATGAAAACAGAGGCATTTTCCAACATGTAGAGGCATATTGGGAAGGTTTGTGCAAACCCTCTACCCCCATGCTGCTTATGACTAGGACTGGCGAGTCAGAGAATTGCAACGACATAACACATAGAGATAACTGGCAGATAGATTTAGTGTGTGGTCTTGATCTCATTAGCACCAAGTTTTAAATAACTGAGATTTCTGCTTATAGCTCAATATTCTTGAAGTTCAAATAAAAAATGTTTGCTAAGCAGTTTGTAAAGGAATAAATGTTACTCTATTAAAGAGTAAAAGTCTTTAGAATTATATATATGTGTATAATTTCAAATGGTAAATTTACAACATATGTTTATGTAGGAATTAAGGCAGGACCCATTTTCTAAACAATGTAGATCCGCTGCTGCCTGCAATAATTTCAGAATGTCACTAAGCAACTTCGTCACTGTAAAAATTGCTTATTTCTCCAGTTTGTCATTGATTCAGACTGATTTCCTGCCTTCGTTTAATTAAATTGAATTAAAAATGTTTAACCATATATATTTAAAAGCTGTGATAGATTCAAGGAGGCAACAGGGAAACAGGAAGTGAAGGTTCCGGGGAAAGGAAAATCAAAGAGTAATAAGAAATGAGACAGAAAAGGTTGAATTCAAGAAAATTTAAATCTATAATTCCACAAGAAAACCATTCATATTATTTCCACTATGGTGTCCCTCTCAATTTCATGTTTTCTAACCACTTATTGTTTTTACACTTTTCCTAAGACAAAGAATGTTCCAGAGATTGTGTGGGTGAATAAACACAGAAGAAATGTTTGCTTCTGGTCTACGGCATTCTCATGTTGACAGAGGGGTCACTGTATTCTCCAACTGCAACCTCAGTTCTATTCAGTCTCAAGGAACAGATTTGTCCTGGAATCATGTTCTCAATTTGGGGATGGATGACGTGCAAGGAGAGTCAGGGAGATGTCTTCAGGTGGTTTATAGAAACATCAGAACAACCCCAAAACAAAGCTATCACACCATGCCTTCTGAACTTGATTTTAGCTCTCCCAGTTGCTTCTGGCAGAATGTTAGTGTATAAAACTGCTTTATTCTAATAATATTTTTCTTTGTTTAATAGAAAACTTTTATTTAATAAATTTCAAAAGTACAACTTTTGGATTATAGTGGTTCTTCCCCCTATAACCACCCTCTCACCTGTAAACCATCCCATCACCTACTCCCTCTTCAATCCCATTCTTCATTAAGATTCATTTTTAGTTATCTTTATATAAAGAAGATCAACTCCATACTAAGTAAAGATTTCAACAGTTTGTACCCACACAGACACACGGAGTATAAAGTACTGTTTGAAGACCAGTTTTACCTTAATTCTCATGGAATACTACACAGCAGTAAAAAAAAAAAAAAAAAAAAAAAGAAATCCGGTCATTTGCAACAAAATTGAGGAATCTGGAAAATGTCATGCTGAGTGAAATAAGCCAGTCCCAATGGGAAAAATATCATATGTTCTCTCTGATCTGTGACAACTAACTGAGCACCTAAAGGAAACCTGTAGAAGTGAAACTGACACTATGAGAAGCAATGACTTGATCAGCCCTTGTCCTGACTGATAATACTTTTCAAATTTTTCTTTTTACAAAGGAATGAGAGCTTGTCAGGCCAACAGCTTTCTTATGTTTTTGGAAATAATAGGTTGTGGCTGGCATTGTGGCATGGTAGAGAAAGCCATCACCTGCAATGCCGGCATCTCATTTGGGTGCTGGGTTCTGTTTCAGCTGCTCTACTTCTGATCCAGCTCCCTGTTTATAACCTAAGAAGAGCAGTGGAAGATGGCCCAAATGTTTGGGCCCCTGCCATCCATGTGGGAGAACCAGATGAAGCTCCTGGCTTTTGCCTGGCCCAGTCCTGGCAATTACAGCCATCTGGGGAATGAACCAGTGGATGGAAGATCTCTGTCACCCTCTCTCCTGGTAACTCTGACTTCCAATAAATAAATGAATATTTTAAAAAAAAAGTTTGCTTCATTTAACCTAAATTTTCTTTAATTCTCCTAATGATCTGATGAAGTAGCTATTGTCTTGGTTTTTACAGACAAGAAAACAAAGCTTAAGAGATGTCAGGATTCATTGCTAACCCATAAGACAAGTGATAAATTGTTAATAATACAGGAAACAATGGTAAAGTTTCAGTCAAGACTTGGAAATTCATGAAGATGAGGCTATTCAAACAGTCTCCACGTAATCCTTCTGTAGTCTAGAACACAGGGGGCCACCTTCAATGATGAGTTAGGCTAGGCTTAAACAATGATTCATATCTACTACGAGTTAGGCTAGGCTTAAACAATGATTCATATCTACTACATATAATCAAGTGGGTTTTTAAAAAATTTATTTAGATTATATAAGTTTCATATACTTCATGTATACAGATTTAGAACATAGTGATACTCCCCGCCATGATCCCTCCCGCACATGCTCCAACCCCTCTTCCTCCGCCCTCTTATTTTCCCACTCCTAATTTTTACAGATCAGTATACTTAATGATTGTATAGTTAACCCTACACCAAGTAAAATAGTTCAACAAATAGTGTAAAGAAAAAAAAAAAAACACTTCCACAATGAAAGAGACAAGGACTGCAAACAATCATTGAATCTCAAAATGTCCATTTCACTCCATTGCATTACATTTTAGGTACTCTAATAGTAACCTCAGATCAGAGAAAACATGATTCTTTGGGATATGTTATATGACTTTTGGGGACTGGTTTATTCCACTAAATATAATGATTTCCAGTTGTGTCCATCTTGTTGCAAAGGCAAGATTTCATTTTCTTTTTTACAGCTGAGTAGTACTCCATAGTGTATATTTACCATAATTTCTTTATCCAGACAACATCTGATGGACATCTGGGTTGATTCCATATCTTAGCTATTGTGAATTGTGCTGCAATGAACATGGGGGTACAGATAACTCTTAAGTATGCTGATTTGTTTTGGTTTGGGGAAATTCTCAGGAGTGGGATGGCTGGATATTATGGTAGATCTATATTCAGATTTCTGAGCTATTTCCATACCATCTTCCACAGTGGCTGTGCCAGTTTACATTCCCACCAACTGTGGATCAGGGTACCTTTGTCCCTACATCCTCAACAGCATTTATTGTTTGCTGATCTCTGTACGTGAGATATTCTAACTGGAGTGAGGTGAAACTTCACTGTAGTTCTGATTTGCATTTACCTGATGACTAGTGATCCTGAGCAATTTTTTAAAATGTCTGTTGGCCATTTGAAAAATGCCTGTTCAAGTCCATTGCTCATTTCTTAACTGGATTTTTTGTTGTTGAATTTCTTGAGCTCTTTATAGATCCTGGATGTTAACCCCTTATCAGTTGCAAGTTTGCAAATATTTTCTCCCATTCTGTTGGTTGTCTCTTCACGTTGCTGATTCTTTTACAGTGAATTCTGAAATTCAGTAAAGAAGATAAGGCAATTGGCCAAATAGAAGGACAACTAAGAGGAAGCCAAACAATTTATTGGGTCTCAGAAAAGCAAGAAATTTTATATAATTTTTAACAGGCAATGTAGTGTGTCAAGATAAAAATGTAGAGGCCAAAGTGAGGACAATACTTCCATTAAGTAAGTGGAATTAAGTGAAAAAGCAGAACTTCCTATGAGAGAAGTTTTGATTTTGTCTGCTTAGAGAGTATAACCTTGGGAGAAGAGACTGGAAGGACAATCAATGGCGTGCTGTGTAGACTATTTTGCACATTTGAGGAATGTGTTCTCCTTTCAGCAGACAATGGTGGGGTGAAGACGGCAATGAGGCAATGATAGGAACATTACAGAATTTCTTCCTTAGACTCAACCAGCAATGAATACGTTGGCTCAAAAAAAAAAAAAAAATCCAAGTTTAATTACATCAAGACTAGAAGACCAGATATATGACTTCTGTGATGTTGGGAAAATGACAATAAGAATCTCAAATGATATAACAACCATCTAGGCATTGCTTCT